AGTTATGGATCTATCAACTAAACAAATGCCTTAATTACTTTAATTAAACACAACCTGCAGTTACAGCGCTGCCAGTTTTTTTTCTATTATACTGTAATATCGGTTTAACCTAACCGGTTTGAACCATATTACCACAGACACAGCGTCAATCAGCAATGAGATGTCCGTGTGACCTATATGTTGTTAACAAGGTTGTTTGGCAGTCTTTCTATATGTTAAATGGAAGTCTCATTGCGATAAACAGGATATATGCTCTGAGATGTTTTCTGATACAGTCTTAGATCATCCGTACAAGTGCCCACGTTCTCATGGAGACTATGCCTTTGAGTTTTACACTATGCCATATGATTTGTCATTTCATCAGTGGCTCGAATTTGCATTTAAACTCATAAAAATCGTATCCAAGCAGTAACCTGCCTGAAACATATCAGAAAATGTTTCAGATATTCCATCACCATTTTGTTAAACACTGGTAGGTTAACCAGCTTTACATCATCACTCTTATAAAAAGGTATCTTCTACCAATGTCTATTGCTGCGTGGCTGAAACACTTATTATAAGGGTTTGGGAGAATCCCATCTTCTTGAAAGTCTATTCTACAGAATACAGTGTCTTTTCATGACGTTGGTAATAGTATGCTTTGATGCACAATTATGAGGATACAGTACTTATGCCAGTTTCAAGACTGATAGTAGCATTATCAGTAAATATGAGTATTACTGATTCTGACTACATGGATACTTATAAAGTAAAATGAATGAATTGATTTCGAAAATATTTTTGTCGTGTTGGTGGAAGTGACTGATTTCTTGCCAATGTGGAAATAAATGAAGTTATTTTTGAAAATATTGTATCAACCTGATGCAAATATTAGCTATCTGTACTACTGGCAGAAAGCAGTATCGATGCATCTCTGTTAACAATGCATGCTATTGTGTTCCATATAAAACCTTATCTATTTGGTGCAGTCTTAGAATATCACCTATTAGCCTCACCTGCCAGAAGGACTCCCGATTGCTCCAAAGATATGCAGGATTGTGGCAAGATATTATATACTTTGGCTAATGTAATTGCAGGCTGAATTTTGCTAATTTTGACACTATCGTTGGTCAACAAGTGCATAGGAGCCCCAAAACCTTGAGACATGCAGATGAATCATCACAGTTGTGACACCTCTTTATTGTTCTACGCTGCTACATGAAAGAGGTAATCAGTAGAGGTTGAACTTCAGCAACTGGATTTTCTCCTAGACATCTCTCAGCTTTTCAGTGATTAATATGGCTCAAGAATGTAGCATAGTTTTCGCTATAGTTGGCAGAAGCTCTTGACCCTGGAGAAGGTCTCTCCTAGCAATATCCACACTCAAATCGTAGACTTAACTCAGCTGCATATTCCCCCTTTCCACCAAAACATGGTCTTAGAAAATAACTTTCCATAAATGAGGAATTGAAAACTTTACAGTAACCAGAGTCAAATAGGATAAAGAAGTACTTTCAAAAAAATTTTTCACTAAAACAAATCCAAAATCGTGAAACCAAAATGTAACTTAATGCTTAAGTCTATGGTATATATATATATACTGTTTTTAAGAGATACGTTAAAAGTAATCCAAAATATACAGCGGATTCAGGAAATTTTCGCCAAGGATAAACACGGTAGGCAAAGAAACAAACACAAGTGAACAATTGGAAACAATCTTTATCCACAATAATGTCTGTTTATAAAATTTGACCAACCAAGTTCCATGTCTTGTAGAATAGCTGCTCAAACAGAGAAATTATACCAAAATTCCTGATACAGTAATACACAGTACCAAAATACCTACATCAACAATAATTTTATTATACATATTTAAAAGTAATAATCTGTCAACTCATACCAAATTGCATAAGTTTATACATCCCCTCAACTTGAGTAAAAACCAAATTTCATGTGAGTGATACAGAAATAGGTTCAAACAAATATATAACACTACTGAGCAGTTTCTGGAACACGTAGTATTTATTTATGATAGAGGTTTAGTTCAAGCTTGTGATATTTAACAGCATGTTTACGTAGAAACCACCTAATTAAATGTAGATTATCTTCTTAGTTTAATATAGAATTAAAAATCATTTGTTCTACGTATATGTAGTCTTCACATAATATGTGGTCATGAAAGTCTTTAAGTTGATTTTGTTCTAGTTATCTTTATTCTTGCTCTTCCCATGGGGATATAGGTTTAAAGTTTCTTTTTGTTACGAAGGTCACAGCAGCGTCTTTCAGTGGTAAGTCATGTGGTATCTCTTGAGGTTAAAAGCTCCTCTCTGTTTAATTGGAATGGCCATTTACTTGGGTAACGGTAGCTGCTTTCATTAAGTCTTACGTTACTGATTCAACTAAGTAACTTGAGATTTAGCAAGGTCGTCTTTGTACTAACATGAACAATTGGAAACACAAACTTTATACAAAGTAATGTTTGTCTTAAAATGATGACTAACCAAATTCTGTGCCCGTCATAATGGCTTCTTGGAAATAAGTCTTGGAATATAACAACCTCATCAATCTATCTTTCCAGTAAAGGCGACTGTCCGTCGTTCAAAAGTGTTGTACATACACTGATGCTTTGTGTCATTTAAATAAAGATTGTTTCATTGTGTTTAACACGTTTTGTACAGTCCATTTATTTCTTAGCACAGGCTCAATTAGTTTTAGCAGAACTTAATATTTTCAATGTATTTTGCCGAACCTCCTGTTATACTAGCGGATCTATCTGATGTACTCTTTCTGGAAGTTGGTTTTAACATAAAATATCAAACTCCTACTAATGTGGAGAGGAGTTTTTTTAAATTTTGACTTGCATTCGTCTGAAAATATTTGTATTTACATATGTTTGACAGACACCTGCGCTTAAGATGTCTATGTAATTGAAATATTTAAGTAAAACAATTTCCATTAGCTAGTTATTTTGTAAATAAAAACTTAGAAACTCGCGATATTATTCAGGGCTATTTTTTATTTCAAGCTTAGGGTTAAAATAATGTTTATTGTTCTTGAAACAATTATTTATTTAAGACTTTTATTACTAAAAATGTTTAACACGCCAAAATTGCCTTTTGTTGCTTTGTGTGAAAACATTTTATAACTTAATTTTCTTATAATATCATAATATAATGACACACGACAAAAATACGATTTCTTTATTTAAATTTTTCGATGATCAGAACAACAAAAACTACAAAAAAAGAGTTTCATAATTATGTAGTAATATCATTGTTTATAGTTATACTATTTTCCAAGTAATTCTGTTTAACTAAAACGCTTAATTACATTCACAAAACTTAATGATCATTTTTACTATTTCTATGATTCTCTGGTAACGTACTAATCGAAATGTAAATACCCACAAGCCACGAACAACAAGTAAGGGGTAATATACAGCCTCTCTGATTGGCTGTTTATCATCACTGAGATGCTTTTATTTTTACAGCTAAATTTAGATGATGTCACACAGGCCAGGTAACGACTGTCAAAATTACTGTAGCGGGGCGGAAGAACATCCGAGCACCAGTTTGTATGATTCTCGAGCACTACTACTTGTAATGAAATAGTACAATAATAATAATAATTACTAACTACTACTACTAGTAGCTCTAACACTGGCGGAAACACATCAAAGAATTTATGTCTTGGTGTATACTGAGGAAAATACACTTAAATATTAATATACTAAATAAAAGTATTAGAAAATAAAATTCACCCCTCCTCCGGTAAAAAAAGAAAGAAACAAGATAATTTGTAACTCTTACTCAAACTTTATTAGAAGATAATTTTAATTCATCGATGAAATACCGAAGAGCCTTTTAGCATCAACTTTGGAAACAATAATACGATTATGGTTAATAAAAATACACAAGAACTAATATACGTTCATCTGTTTTAACATGCCCCTCACGCGCCAGTGGTGAAGATTTTTATTGAAAAAAAAACCCTACCCAATCCGGGTTTTCTTAATTTGAACTGAAATTTTTTGAACATGTTTATTGGCTAAAAGAAAGCATTTCCCGCACTCTTTTAGCGTTGGGACTACGAAAAGTGGTTTGAAGTGGTAAGGCGACTTCAATCCGTCAGCGCATCACGAGCTTAACGGCCAAGCAAAAGAAACATGAAAGTTTCCAAATGACACGCAGAGGTATTCAGGAACCGTATAGAACCACCTTGGTAGATATTGTGCAGCAAGCCAAGACAATATTATGCCTGTAGCTGCTTTCAAAGTGTTCCTGTCTGCTCATACTACTGCTGACTATCGTGATGCTTCGACCTTCCCTACCGAATCGCATGTGAAATCGTTCGTATCTCACTTGAAAGCTAAACATAAAATAGTGATAGCAGAAGCATTAAAGGTTGGCAATTACTTATTTAATGATGCTGAGAATGTGGCTTTATTGATATATACTGAATTTATTCCCAGCGAGTAGACCTTAATACTAGTTAGTATGGAGACATGAGTATACTGTATTTCACTTTAAAATTTATCAATTAGCAAACGAAAAATTGTCTCGAAACGATACGTCTAACACCACCCTTTTTGGGAGTTTTCGGAGTGAACTTACTTTTAATATTCAACAAATTGTAGTGTAAAGATACCCCTTGGCTCCTGAGGGACGTTTTAAAGCAAACTTGAATAAGTTGAGATCTCTTTGTTGATAAGAGAAGAAAGAATTTAATGTATTTTTATTAAAAATATACTAACTTATCATACTAGTTTTAAGAGAGTGAAAAAAATCGCTAAATGTGACAGCAAAATGACTACATTCTATATATATGTGTGTGTGTGTTTTAACAACCGCTGCTTGTGTAAAAGTTTCAAAGTTATAAAAATATCACTGTTTGTCTGTTAGATTTATTATAATGTTTCGATCTTTTCTTAGACTTTAAACGGTTTGGTTTGAATTTCGCGCAAAGCTACACGAGGGTTATCTGTTCTTGCTGTCTCTAATTTAGCAGTGATAGATTAGAGGGAATGCAGTTAGACAACACCACCCATCGCCAATTTTTCAGCTACTCTTTAGCCAACGAACAATGGGATTGACCGTCACAAAATAACACCACCCAGAGCTGGTGACGGGAATTCAAACACGCTGCCATCATATTGTGAGTCGAGCGCCTTAATCGCCAGATCAACTTGAAGCGCTAAGAATTGAACTTCTCGACTAAATATAATGGTGCTGGGTAAAATATTAAAAAAAAAGATCTTGTGGGTATAAATTTCTATTCTGGTTGAGGTGTTTTATAATTTTTGACATAGTATCAGTTTGCTCTCCGCGTAACTGAGACAGAGATCGTACCGAAATAAAGACCATCCGATAGTCAGTAATGTAGTTTCCGTCTTATGGTATGGGAGCCAGTTAAACGTTGCCGACTATCAAAAACTTTTGAAGAGTTCGACCCTGCTTCTTTCGGTTATAAGAGCCTGGAAATTATTTGTAAGCATGACAAAAAGCTATTCTCAAATAAGTTATAAGTTATATCCACTGATAATAATTACGTTTTAACCTATTCGTAAGTGTTCTACAAGAATCACGGACTTGTTACTGTTTGCGCTAACATCAAAGTGCAGTTTTTAAAAGAACGAAAAATTAACTTGGCGAATGAGTGACGATATTTCTATTGTCGTGCAAGGCAAAATTACAGTATTTCAAACAGTCCTCTGTATGAAAAGGACCGCGGTTTTTGGTATAACATTTAAGACTGTAAAAGAGGATGGTGAGTTTATATCTTTGTGGGTGGGGTGATTATAAAAAAAAGAAAAAAAGAATCCTAAACGTAATATAAACATAATAGTTATCTGTTATTGTAGGTTATTTCCAGTTGCTAAAAATGACGGAATACCTTCATTTCTGTGACATTATATTTGATATTTGTTAATCATATTCACATTGACGTTTCTTCGGCATGGATATCAAAATCATGTTTAAATATCTTCAGGAAAAGATTTAGCTTTGACGTAATATACAGCACCACTTCCACGACGTTTGGCTAGCCACCATTCCATAATCTTGTCGCGTTTGAAGTACGTCAGTGAGGCAAAAACTAAAATGAAAGAAATCACACAGATGATTCCAATGATAATGCTTCGAACAATTCTATTGTGCATTTCTCTCCAATGGCTCTCTTTGGAGTGACATATAAACTGATCTTCTGGAACTGTCATAATAACATTGCTTCGCAGATTCTCAGGAGCATGGCACCTAGAAAAAATAATAGTTTGGCTGTCTTTACTCGGAAACTACTGCCTTAATGTTAGTTATTTATAATTAATACTTAATTACTTGGATGAAAGGCGTGCGTTAATTGCCATAGTAATACAGTGCAGTATGGGAATAATCTATGTATATTTTGTTTATTATTAAGCAGAAAGCTACAACAAACCGTGTCCACCGCGAGTATCGAACCATGGTTTTAGAGTTATAAGCCTTCAAGTTCATAGTTGGGCCACCAGAGGGCTTATAGAGAAGGATTTATTTGTTTTGTTATTAGGCAAAAGGCTACAGAATGGCTATCTATGCTGTCCGTGTTTCTTGAATATATATTTGGGGATTAGCAGCTGTGTAACCATTTATATTTAAATGGTGAGGTCATCTGAGGATAGTTCAGTTCTCGTACTCAATCTGACAAAAAAAAGTGTGAATGTACCTCTTCTATTTTTGGTACTTGTAACTAAAACACTCATGTTGATATTTTAATTGTGCCATCTATTAATTTATATAAATTATTCAGCCATTAGACACAATATCAATAATAAACGTGCTTATCACAATAACTGATAAAGTGTGAGTAAGAAGCTAGATTATTCTGAAACTTCGCAAATTGATAATACTGCCCTGGTTCTTTATCACAATTATAACTTCGCTTTGATGACGTTTTAGAATCTTCTATATAACAATATTGTTTTTTATGCGTAAGGTGTTATAGGTAAAGATTCGAAGTCTGGTTTTGCAGTAGTTTCTTTCTCGTCACATTGAAAAACTTGAACAGTTTGTTTGTTTGTTTTTGAATTTCGCGCGCAAAGCTACGAGGGCTATCTGAGCTAGCCGTCCCTAATTTAGCAGTGTAAGACTAGAGGGAAGGCAGCTTGTCATCACCACCCACCTCCAACTCTTTTACTAACGAATAGTGATATTGACCGTCATATTATAACGCCCCCAAGGCTGCAAGAGCGAGCGTGTTTGGTGTGACGGGGATTCGAACTCGCGAGCCGCAGATTGCGAATCGAGCGCTCTAACCACCTGGCCATGCCGGGCCTAACTTAAACATAGAGCCTTCTTCCAAAATCAGCTTTTTTTATGCTTCTCTTTTTCGATTCTCCCAGTGGATCAACGATAAGTCTCAAACTTACGAGGCTAATAGTGAGTTTCGACACCCCTGGGGGGATGGGGGTGGGCAGAGCACAGTTAGCCCATTGCGTAGCTTTGTGCTTAACAACAACCAAACCAAAAAAAATCCTTTTCCGCTATTAATCACCAAAATGGTGGTACTTTTCGTCATTCATGTTCTTCTTCCTTGTTTCACTGTTTAACAACTTTTTGTAATCATTGTTCTAATTGTCAGTTTTCACTATAAGAACTTTTTATTCTGCGCACTTCCTAAAAACAAAGAAAGAATTTGTAAACTGTCGAATTCTTGCCTTTCTTATATACCATAATGGCCTACTTTCAGATTTGAAAGACATCTTTGGTTACAAATTTTTAAAATAATTTTATTTTGCAGGCTTTGAGAAAAAAGAAAAAAAACTGAGAAATCTCAACTTTATAAGTTTGTTTGTTTATTATTAAGCAGAAAGCTACACAATGGGTTATTTGTACTGCGCCCACAGCGAGTATCGAACCACGATTTTTAGCATTATAAGCCCTCAAACTAATCGCTGAGCCATCACAGAGCTTATAGGGAAAAATTTATTTGTGTTATTTTGTTGGTAAGCAGAAAGCTACAGAATGGGCTATCTGTGCTTTGTCCACCACAGATATCGAAATCCGATTTCTTGAGTATGATAAATTCTCAGGAAAGGAAGCAACAGTTGTGCTCATCTAGGGGAACCATAACAATAGAAGTAATAGCCTAAACGTCCAACGATTTTGACAAATGAATTAATCAGTAAAATTAATTTTACTTTCCCATTCTCTGCTATTAGTATTACTTTTCTATGCAATAAAACCGGCTATGAGTAATCACACTTTTTTTTTAAGTAAGAGAGATAAGTAGGTGAAATAACTTTGTGTTCATACGAGTAATTTGAGGTTATACGTGTTTTATGAAGCTCAATAACTATCTCACTGTGGAATATTTAATATACAACTTTCCATAACGACGAAAGTTTTAATAATTTTCGTACTTCAGATCAAATTACGAACACCAGAACCATTTCAGCTCTCATAACAAGAATAGATTAGAATGAAATTCGATCGCATCCACAATCACAACATACTAATGCGAACACCCCCCCCCTCTAGAAACTTTTTTTTTGTCTTTATACAAGAACACGTTTCCTACTTTAAAAAAAGCAATACGAAAGAGCAGGTGGTGACCTTGAATTTATTCTATTAGCCTTGATCTTTAGACTTGAAATATACGTTGTCGAGGCGCACCTTCAGGTAGTCAAATATTTTTTGTTTCTTGAATTTTTCAAAATTTATCGTGTCTAATCTTAGAAATAAAAGAAACCCCAAAGAAATTACTTAAAACATTTTCAAGTCCCCCGGTGGGTCAGCGGTAAGTTTGTGAGTTTAAAATGCTAAAATCTAGGGTTTGATTCCCCGCGAAGAAAACAGGACATGTAGCTAATTATGTATCTTAGTGCCAGAAAGCTACCAACGACAAATAAATTTTCAAAATATTAAATCATAATTCGTTAATATTCTTTTAAAATTTTCAATGAACTTCAGGTTAGCGAAATTCATATTAAAAAATAAATAGACGAAACATGATTTCGAGATATAAATCGTTGAAAAGTAGTGATTTTGTTATCATACTATAAGGTCGTGCCAGTTCAGCGGATGTTAATAACAGTATAAAATGCTCTAAATTTTTCTATTCAGTTCATAGTCTTTGATTATACATCTTTCATATTTGCTTTTGTTGTTCCAATGGGTTATATATTCATTAATGTAAAGTGAGATTTTACAGACGATTTATTTACCAGAAATACAATCCAACAAATAAAAAGTATTATTTCTAGTACATTAATAAGGTTTGTTTGTATTTAAGCACAAAGCTACACAAAGGGCTATCTGTGCTCTGCCCAACACGGGTATCGAAACCCGGATTCTAGCGTTGTAAGTCCGCAGACATACCGCTGTGACACTGGAGGGCCATTAATAAGGATGTATACTAACTATATTACTCTAGGACTATACTATGTTACACTAAACTATATAATATACTATATTACACTGTATTACATTAAACAGTACTATACTTTGTTACCCTATATTGTACTATACTATATTATAATACAGTAAACTATACTACACTTTACAAGATTACACTATTATATTACATTATACCATATTACGCTACACTATTATACTATACTCACAGTAAGAGATCCTTGAGTTCTTCCTTCATGTTGCAATTTTTTATCCACTTCAGCTTGCAATCACAATTCCAGGGGTTATCTCGAAGATCCAAAGTTTCCAGTTTACACCAAGGTAAAGCATCCTCATATAACGTATTTAGGCTATTGTTCCTTAAATTGACGTTATTCAGCCTCATTTGATTAGACTTTGGATCTAAGATTCCTTTGAAGGCAAGGGCATGTATAACCTCAAGTTGTGGATTGGAGTGAAGGTTTAGGAACTCCAGATGTCGAAGTTTAGAGAAAGTTAGCTCATCAACATATCCTAACACTGGCATATTACTTAAACTTATTATTCGGATTTTTTGTAGACCCGTAAATGATTTTAAATTAAGCTCTGTGATTGGATTCTCATCGAGGTAAATTTCCTCAAGCTCTTCAGCACTTCTCAATGCTACTGTTGGTACATCTTGAAATTCGTTTTTTGTTAATTTTACCACTTTCAACCAGGTGAGTTCGTGAAACAATCCCGGCGTCAGAAAATAATTTCCTGTAAGAGATAAGTCAAGATATTCGAGATATTTTAGTGGCCTTAGAAGATCACTCGGAATATTTCTGAATGGATTTCCTGCAAGGGTCAAATAAGTTAGTTTTTTTTGTTCTTTAAAAATATATTCTGGTAGACTCTTCAGCTTATTGAAACTCAGATCCAGTGTTTCTAAGTTATTCAACATTTTGAAAATGTCCTGATGAAGGTCCCCCAGTGAGTTGTTTTTCAAACATAACTTCTGCAAAGCGGGAAGCTCGTTAAACGCTTGATATTCTATCAGACTGATGTTATTCGAACTCAAGTTTAGGTATTTCAGGAAGTTGTTATTTTCAAGAACGTTGATAACATTAATTGAGTTGAAACTCAAGTCCATGCTCAAAGTTTTTGACGGCCACAAAGCTCCTGAAGGAGGTATTTCTATATTTTTCCTTGAACAATTGACATTCACGAATGTTTCAACTACAGACTTACCGGTGACAGTGGTGCAAGAACAAAAAGTGCAGATATTGTCTGCACCTCTGATTGCTTTTGCAAAAACGCACATCCATAATACCATGGTGACCAGCAAAGCTTTTAACCTATAAAACGACACGACAAATAAAAATGTTAGCATTGTTTCATTCATTGTATCTAATATTCTTGAAACAATACAGACGTTCAGTTATTATCCAGTGAGTATCTGAAGAATGAGTTAGTTAACAATGTTATTGAATGAAATTCTATCAGTTTAATGACTGAATTTTAAGCAAAATTTTCCTTTTATTCACTTTTTTATTTTATTTTACTAAACATTAAAGCCATGTGATCTCCTCACTTTATGCCCTCCGATAGGGCCTAATGGTTAGCATGCCGTATTATGAATCCGAGGGTCCATGATTTGCGTCTTGTCGCCGCAAAACAACGCTCCAAACTTTAGGGCCGTAGATACGTTATAAGAGAATCAGTGATTTTTACTTTCTCGTACAAGATTACGGAAATAAATATTTAAATATCGTGCTTCGGAATTAAACGATTTTAGATAGTTTGTTGGCTTATATATATATTTCTACTATAAGAGTTATCACTTGCACACAGCATTTCATTTTTTAAGAACACTGAACTTACTACACACTTAATAATTATGTTAAGTCAGCCAAAGACAATAATAATAATGTAGACTTCCTAGCAAGATGCATGATCAACACATTAGTTAATGATAACAATAATGTATTGTCTGTTCTCAAGTGTCTTGTTAAAGCACAGTGAAAAGTATTATAACCATTAAATCAGAAAAACTAAACCAAACTGCAATATTGAATAAAACCAACTACGAGGGGAAAAAATGGACATTAACTACAAGACCAGAAAACGCATTAATTCCCCCCAACGTGTTCAGTCCTATCCAAGACTCACAAATCTAACTGTCTCCTAAGGCAGGTCAGACACGCCAGCCTTTTCCAGGTGGGGGTAAGGTGGTCCAGGCAGAATACCAGAGGAGGAATTTTCCGTCATAATGTGTAGATCACCAGCGCGTCCAACACGCTGGTTGGGGTAGCTAAGACAAATTTTGGGGTGGCTAAAGTCCCATATGCCCCTCTTTAGCAATGCTCTTGCCCTAAAGCCTATAGATTACAAATTGGAATCCGTTACGCATTCTTTATCTAAATAGTTAGCACACATTTGTCTTACATTCTAGGAAAAATATTACCATTAAATACTCAAACAAATATTGACTTTTTTGACAAAATAACAAAATTTTTAAATTATTGAAGGAGAAATGGCGTTTTCATATTGTTACATTCTTTATCAGTGTTCTAGAACAATAGATCGTATAACTCAACATAGCTCCTCCTATTCCGGTTAATAACTTTATTTCTCATTTTAAGATTCTATAGAAAAAAATGCCTTCAAGTGTTTGGGAAAATATTTTAGACAAACTACGGCTGAGAATAATCCTCTTTCTCTATACTATGCAGCATCTTTATGGAGTGTTTTGAAAGTGAGTTATTTCCTTCATCCTTAGTTAGATGACACATTTATCGCTTGGCCAGGCATAATTAACCAGCTTCACAGCATTATCCAATTTAAAGTTGAACAGGAAGAAGAAAAACTCACTGCCTTTCTTAGATATTTTGATTATCACAACAGCTTCAAGCATTATCCAATTTAAAGTTGAACAGGAAAAAGAAAAACTCACTCCCTTTCTTAGATATTTAGATTACTACAACAAACACACACAGACACCAACAGTACCTGTCCTCTGTATCTACTAGAAACCAAAAACCTTTTTAAGTTACCTGCATTTCATTCGTGGCATCATAAACCCGCGAAAACATCTGTAGTAACTTTAATGTTGTTAAGAACCTACAGAATACTTCACCCCACAACAATAGACAAATATATTAAAACCATCTTTACATTTTTCATTCAATTACGATATCAGGACAGTACATTAAGAAAGGCTCATCTAAAAGCAAGGACATTTTTTTTATAGGAAGCAGAGAAACTAGCACAACGGAAGATAAGGAAACATTACTTTGTGTGTAACTACAACACGAACATTGAATTTTTTGTGAAAATACTAGTGAATAATAAAGTCAATTATAAATATCCCCACGTCATTAGAAATAATCTAACTTCAACTGAACCCACAATGGAAGATAGAAAATGAAGTGCTTACAGTTGTCATTTTTGCGAAAAGGTTTATTTGGGTGAAGAAGAAACGCAGACACAAAAGAGACCTACATAAACCTGTTTAAGAGAACAACCAGTTATTTGCTAGGAATGCGAAAACAACCAGAACGTAGCAAAATCCTATATATTAATCAAGAGCTCTTTGACAATATAATTAAACGGTATACGAAAAATTTATCTCTATTACAACAATGTTAATTTCAAGGTAGAAGTTTGAGCAAATAGAGGAGTTTCTTTATTTAGGGACGTATATCAGTAGTGATGACAAAAGTGGAAAAGAGATAAAGCGAAGGATATGAATCGAAAAAGTATTATTCAATATTAAAGTATTGCTCAGGAGAGATGCCAAGCTAGAACTGAAGAAGAAGAGACCGATAAAATGTTACTTAAGGTCAGTTTTACTCTTCTGGATAGAAACGTGGATCCTGTCTACTGAAACAAAACGACAGTTGGAAGCATTTGAAATGTGATGTTACAGACGAACGACGAAGATCAGATACATACAAAGAAAACTAATTGGGAAATAATAGAATGTGCAAAGACAAAAAATACAACTGCTGAACACATGTAGGTAATGGAAGATGTGCTACTTTGAGCATATAATAAGATCTGAGGAAAATAGCAGAGAATTTGATGGATAAAGCTGAAGAAGAAGATGGGAGAGGCAGGCAGAGACTCACAAGCTCGATGACATTAGAAAATGATTTGAAGATGAGAGCATTTCCGACATATACATCACAAAACATTAATTCCAGAATAATATATATGTGTGTTGTCTTTTTCGAATATTGGACTATTAATCAAAAAGCGTTTAATAGCACGTTTCTTTAAGATTCTAATTGGTTGTTATGGTTTTCTTTAAACAAAGAACTGGTTCTTGTATTTCCTGTTACCTTCATCAAAACTCGTTGGAGTTTTGTACGTGAAGCTTACATTCTACATATATTTTAAATCATTAAAAAGAAAATATTTTTTTAGCGAGTTAATGAAGTAATTTTAACGGATATCTTCATGACATGGTGATTCATTTTACACAGAATACCCACCGGGCCATTTAGACCAATCTCGTCAGACCGAAAACTGGATTTTTTACCGTTGTTGTAATAGCACACCCATGCCCCCAAAGTGTGGAATGCATTTTTGCGAAAACTGTTCGCGAACCATAAACCAAACGATTCACTGTACGAACACGCTAAACAGGAGACCACGCCAGGGACATTTATTCTAGAATGATATTCAATAACTATTTTAAAAAATGAGGATATATATCCACAGTTTACTAAGTGCATATTGTTGCTTTATTCGATGTAGAAGTAACTAAAGTTCAGAGGTATAATTTCGCAATATGTGACAAAAACAATAATTTTTATGTTGCCACAAACTGTCCTAAAAATCATATTGCTACTTTGTTCGGAATCTGCGAATCGTACGCATTCTTTGTACTGCATTAGCATGATAGAATATTTAATTAGTATATAGAAACTCACCTCATTTCTGTCATCATAAAGATGGCGGCTGTTGCTTCTACAGAAAGAAAGAAAAGTACGTTAGAATATGATCTGTGTACTACGTACCGTCGTACACTTAGAGATACAAGTACAGGTTTTGCTACTTTGATTGTTATTTCTTATCTTATCGTTTTGGGAAAAGCTGCGCAATGTACTTAGTATTTGTACGACGCAGCTAAATCATCAACCCAATTAATCAATCGAACAAATGGCTGTAAATAATTTTATTAATAAAATAAATAACTCTTCGAGACTCGCTTCTCTGTTTTTAAATGGAATAGCTTTAATTTTTCCAAATCAGATTTCAGAGCGTGATTATCAAACGACAAAACTTATTTTAGTTTCTTCTAAAAAAATGTTCCTTTCTGAATAAGAAACAAAACAAACAAACTTGAAGTTATCAATGACTAGACATTTTGAAACTTGTGACAAATGCTTGAAGCTTGGATTGTTTTCGCAATATAATTTACTCATGTTATCAAATACACAACATGAGATTGAATATGTGTTAAATCTCTGAAGCCCCCAGTGGCACAGCGGTATGCCTGCGGACTTACAACTCTAAAAACCGGGTTTCGATACCCGTGGTGGGCTAAGCACAGATAGCCCTTTGTGTAGCTTTGTGATTCTTATTTGCTTCTTTCTATGTTTGAATTATTCTTTGCAAAAAATTTCCTTAATCTGCTATTTATTGCAGATTACTCAACAGTTACCTGTAAGAAATCACTGTAATTATTGTAAAAAGTTATTTATGATTTATCCAATTTTACTAACTTCATTGATGTACGTAAATACTAACATAATATGACTGCTGGCTGAACCTAGTACCAGCACAAGTGCAGACTATTGAAAAATGGGATACCACAAAAAATATTTCCTAACAACTTACCCAGAAACAGCTAGGAAGGACAGGACAGAGCAACTATGCTCCAGAAAAAATGAAAGATACCAGAACATATGCTTGAAATTCAAAGATGATATGATTTTGATTGATGTGAAATTTGTGGTTATTGGCAGTTTGCAACAAAGGTTTCTCAAATTTTGTTAAAGTGATACTTCTCTTGTTCATGTTCTACATAATGAAAAGGTTTCTGAAACAAGATGTTACAGTGAAAAAAAAAAAGAGAAAACTAACAGTTCTCCATTAACATGAAAATAGGAGAGCCAACAAAAAGGGCACTGTAAAAGGCAGACACCTGATAAGTATCATACATCTGTGTTAGGCATAAAACAGTTCTCCGTGACCATTTACTAGTTTAGCATCTTTGCAATAACTTCACATTTTCTGTGTTACTTAGAATCAAAATGTAAGATCCTATCAAAGCTCATCAAGTCTTTCCTAAATTTGTCACATGGAAGTGCAGATATTGAGAAATTACTGTCAGACAATAAAAACACAGTTCCAAATGTATAACTCAGTCAATGCTTTGCCAACATTTCTAGTGTTTCCATGAGAAAATAAGTATAGGAGTTATCATGTGAGAACACAAATGAATAAGTATAAAACTCAATTCTGCACAAGAATTTATTTACAAGTACGTTTTATACATTTTGTTGTTTTTCTAAATAGCATGACCTGTATCTAGTTTATTTTTTAAGACGAGTGCCTTCTATTTTCGCTATTTTCCCCAATTTTTTGCCTAGCATTTGGTGGAAGATATGATAAGGTAATTTTTAATATGCATAATTGTTTTTGAAATATTGCATGAACTTTTCAAAGATGAGTACTAGTTTTCGAATATTAAACGTTTTCCAGACCTTAGGATTCTATGACAACTCAGTTTAACACCTCTCTTTCAGTAGGAAAGGTCGGTTTTTATTTTATTATTTTGTTTTCTTAACAAACGTATTTCCTAATGTGGATGTGTCAATCACAGAAAAACGTAAATACATTTTATGTGTTTGTTGTAAACTTTCCACAATAACCTACTTTAAGGGCAACCTTTTTTGTTATTCTGTTACTTTTTACGGTTGCATTTTTCTCAGACAGAATCTTTTCAAGAAGTAAATAATCCTTTTAGAACTAGATATACGTTTTTGTTCATTTATCTATTTTCAATTGATATTTTACATTAAACTGTATTTTTGCCAGGTAGTGAAAATGTGTAAGTTGGTGCAATAGTGATGAGAGACGTATATGGTGCTATAGTCGGAGATGTTTAATATTATTGCTCATGCTTACCAATCCATTGATTTTGAAGAAAAGTTTTGAAATTCTCAAATTAATCCAATTTTACTTTTAAGAAAAAGTCGGAAGGATTGAAAAACTAAAATGAGAAAAACAGTACTGTCCTGACGAAGGTCAGAGATCAAAAAAGTAGGGCTAGTCTTATTTTAATGGGATGGTGAATCAATCTGTAGAAGTCGATAACTTTTAGTCAATATTTGATTTTCACATCTTAATAAAAAGTCAAATTCTAGTTTAATTTGTTGGAAATTCTCTATTTTGCAAGTTATCTTGTTGAAAAATCATTGGTACTAGGTTCTGCCATTTGATTTTCACATCTTAATAAAAAGTCAAATTCTAGTTTAATTTGTTGGAAATCCTCTATTTTGCAAGTTATCTTGTTGAAAAATCCATGGAGATTGTAGACAAGGCCCTCACATTATGTTCCACATAAACTTAATCCAGCTCTGAGTGCATTAGGTATGTTGTGGTATTTGAATAATAGAGATGATAATTTTTAGACGAGTCCTTAGGATTGTGTAAAGAAGCTAGTGTTATTGTGATGGATTTAGGAATATGTGTGTGAATGTTTAAAGTACTGTGAACATAAATTTGAAAGTTTATATCAGTTTGAGGAAGTGTGTGTCAATAATGGAGATTGTTGTATTGTAAGAAAATGTAGGTATAAAATTATCAAATTGTTGGAACAAAGCAGCCATTCCACTATCACTATAGTCTATATTTTGTAAGCTTTTCCCATATTGCAGTCTTGCAATGATACTATATATATATATCTTTATATATGCAGATTTATTTTAATAATCTTAGATATCTTTAGTTAGGTACAATTTCTAACCATTGAATTAACATATAATGGAAAATGGATTTTTTAAGACTTGATTATACAAGGACATTAATGAACACTAAGTTAGTCTGTGGTGTCAAAAATAGAACACTGAAGGTTTTCTGCATACTTTGTTACAAATCGTTTTCAGTTAAAAACCTTGAGCTCTTCTAGTTAAAACAGCACAGGCTGAATGTTCACACAGAAAATATCAAGATTTGTGTTGGCTAGTCTCAACCAACCCTATTCAGTTGTATAAATAATAGCAAAGAGAAATTCTGCAACCAGAATATACTATCATGAGCTGGTTCCTTGGTCTATATATCACAAACTCGTGACTCTAGACAAATTATTCATTCCCAAGCAAAGAGCAGAAATACTGTAGCCAATTAATGTTGCAAGCAAGGAATTTTCATTTGCTTCCTGTGATTATGCTCATCAGCTTTACTGAAGGATGGTCAGGTGCTCCATTGCCAAAAATGCTAGAATGGGGAGTCAATAAAGGTGTTGTATATCATCTCAGGTAGCCTAAGATCCCACCTGCTAAAGAAACTAGTGGATGACCCAAAGAAAAGTACTGCAAGATACATCAGATTGTATGATAAAACCACCACTGATTAAGATGTGAAGCAACTAGATGTGTTTATTAAATATTGCTAAGAAACATATCGCCAGGTTATCAGGGGATACCTGGAAGCCTTTAATTTTGGTCATACCAAAGGAAAGCATGTATTAGAAAAATAATCATCCAAAGGAAGAAAATATCTGTCCTTCTGAGACTTTTTTATAAATGTATCAAGTGATTGGCCAAATTTAAACAAAACCATTTGTAATGAGATCAGTGATGCCCTGAAGGAAGAAAGCTTTGAAGGTCTCTCTTTTATCTTTTGCAACCTTCATATATCTTACTCTACTAAAGTGTAAATTTAATGTTTACAAAATGTTTAAATTTTGTAATTGTTTGAATTCAAAACATGATAAATCTGGTTGAGGTTTTATGACAAGTTAACCGTAAGTGTTAATTTCTGAAGCAAGATTCAGTTAAGAAAGCTACAGTTTCATAGGACAGTTTTATTGTATCTTTCATTAAGTGTTAATTTCTGAAGCAAGATTCAGTTAAGAAATGTTGAGATCTTGTTGTATTTCAGCACAACAAATATCATCATTGTATTTATTATTTTGGTCACATAGATAGATGGCCACTCTATTGCTCTATTATAGTAAGATTTTTTACACTTATCACATAATATGTTAATAACTTTATTTAGTGTTTCTTTATTAAATCAATTTAATACTAATTTTTACATTAATATTTCAACATTAATAAACAACTTGGCACTAATTGTATGAGGTTGAACATCTTATTGCATATAAAGGCTCAGGTAAAGTCTGAAAATTGTTAGTTACAGTAGACCCTATGAGAAAACTTAATGTGTGCTGATTGGAAGTTATACCAGCTTAGATAACTTGGTTGGGCTTTTATATTAGTATAATTTGTCTACTGTACTACTAATTAACTTAATAATTTAGGACTTTACTACTACAATGGGGGCTGGAATGCCAACATCAAGAGGTAACTTTATTTTACTTACCCCCAATGGTAAAATCTTATTTCCTTTTTCTTTACTAAATTATATATTTTTTTTATGATTTTGTTTTCTTCAACATGTGAGACTGGCTAACAGAAGTTAGACAGTTTATCCCCACTGCAATGTGGGTCCTACTTTCGCATTCACCTCCAAAGCTAAGGGCACATTTTATATCCCACATTATAGCCTGTATCCTGGTAATCCTTTTAATTTATTCAGCATCTTCCAATTCATTTTTAGTTTGGGCCTGTTTAGTTCATTAAAATGTCATTCATCACAGGTTTTGCTGTTTTTAATGCAGTCCTTTCTTTTAATGCTAATTTTTGCTTGACTGTTTAAGTACTACTTTTCTATACATATGTATAAGAGCAGATAACTTTTTATCATATTATACTAATATACAGTATTTAAATTGGGTAATACTTGCTCAATTTTTGAACAAAGTAAGATTAGCCTGAATATTTTAGATTTTTGAAAATCATAGCTTCATGCCAAAATCAGATTTTTCTCTAAAACGAATTTTGAAAACTTACTACCTAAATGACCTTTTGAGATCAATTAAAAATATTTTTCATATGATAATATTTGCATGATTCTGATGACATAATATAAATCTTTGGTTATTACAAAAGATTGTTTATGGAAGTTTAACTTTCTTCAACCCTTGTGCTGCTCTAGGAATAATGGACTATTGTCCTATAACAGGAATATGTCGTAAGTACAAACCCATTTATAATTAATGTGTCGGTTATCAGTGGATAATCTGTTAGTGATCGTAGAAGAATATGTGTTTCCTAACTTGATAGATTAGCATGTACAGTAGATTAGTTAAAACTCAAATAAATTGACTGGGTGTCGATGATCATTGTTTGCATTTTTTGTGTTTAAGATTTTGGATGAAGAAGTGTACAGTTATACAGCTAACCATTTTCTTGTAGTGTATAGCCCTTGAAGATTTATTAGACAAATAACATGTTGACATTACTGAGAAGTTTTGAGGGTGACTGTCCCCTTTATTTGCATGTTAAATCAACAACATGGATAAAAAATAGTTTTCTATAAAATGTACACTATTTTCTTATTAAGAACTATGTGCCATAAAATAGTTTTTTCTAAGCCACTTCTTCATAGATTCCAAATGCATGACATTAGAAAAAAATACAATTGTTCATTTTTTGTTACTGCATCTCTACTAGAAATAGTGACTGGCTTCTTTCTTTTTTACTCTTTCTGGCAGATTGCAGTTATCATTATTTTATTTGTCAAAGTGATTATAACTTGTGTCAATGTTTAGTAGTCAGTGACATCTCTTTGTAACTTCTGTGTATTGATTATTGCAAATATTTTGAAAATATGTGTGGTTAAATTAAAGTTAATGTGCTTTAATCAATATATAGCACAGATTATAAACCAATGCATTTTTAATCAATTTAAAAAGACACTTTTCTTTATTGTTATAAATATTTTAGCATCTTAGATATGTTAGCCATAATAAACTAAGAATATGAAACACACAAATTGCTTATGATTATTTCATAAACTGGAGATCAGTTTTTATTGTTTCAGTTGTACTTTTCTTCATAGAATATAGATTATTTGTATAGATATTAGGTATTATATTTTTTATCCTTTAAAAATGTTAAAACACATGGAGAGCAAAAACAACTCTACCCATGATACTTTTGTAAAGCCTGTAAAACTTTCAAGATTTTGTGCATTGTATGCATTTTTATTATTATTATTATTATTAAAAATTGCTTTGTAGTAAATGTTATTTCAATATATTCAAAAGCAAAGCCGTGAAGCAGATTATAAGTTTCATTGTTGTTGTTTTTTGCTACCTTTAAGCATGCTTAAGAAAATAAATTGCTATAATACTTAACTGCATTTGGAACTAGGTACACTGTATAGTAATTAATAAGTGTTGTGGAAGCTTGAAAGAGAGTTGCAACTATAGACCATATATCTGTGAATAAGACTTAACTGAGCATGTTAAAATTTCAAAACTTTTTCTGTTTATCCTAAAATCTGAAATAATTGAACAAATAAGTATATGAGAACGTGTGAAATTTATCAGAGAGTTTTTCTGTTGGGCCATCCTTAAGAAGGCTTAAGTTAGTGAATCTCTTTATTAATTGGACATTTATAAGAGAAAAATCTTCATCATCTTCTTAGTACCTGTTATCTACATATCTTTCAAATATGATGCTTAAGTGCAATTCATCCAACAATATAAAGTGTATTTATACAACCAATCAGGGCTTTAGTGTGCTGGAATACACCAGAGTGCTGCTCTGGCTCCTGAACTTAGAGCCGAGTCCTAATAAGTGAAAAACTAAAAATATGTATATCAAAAAAGTTACTCATTTGTCACCTAAAGTTAAGTGTCTTTCATCACTAAACTCTTAGTGTCACGGAACGCTTGCTGTTTGTGATCACCCTTCACCCGTGTCCACTGGTAGAGCTCTCTCAGGCTGCCCAAAACACAATCTTTCACTTTTCCTTAGAAGCTGGAGCCAAGCATTATGTGACTGCACCAGCTAAAGAGAAGATGTCAGAGCATTGAAATGATGAATTTTTTTTTTTTGTCATATGTGGCTATTAAGACACATAAATATGTTATCAAAACTTAATAAAATATGTTTTACAATCATACTTTGTATTTAAAATATACACATTTTTAAAAAGCTTATTATTTGTATAATGTATAACTAAGGTGTTGATTTTTTGTTACTCTTATTGGCAAGACAGGAAGTGTGTAAAGCATTATGAAAGTCAAAGTTTTTAATAATGTGGTGTAGTTAGAATATGGTAAATTTATAAGATATGCATTTTAAAAATTAGTATTAATGATAGTGATTTTTAACTGGTATCCAGTTGTTATTTCTTGCTGCTTAATTTAAAGAAAGTTGAGTTGCATTTGTTCTCTCAGTAATATATGCATATTTAATTTAGTGCTAATACGAGAAATGGATTCACAAAAATGAAGATTAGATTTTGACTATGAGATCTTTAATGGTCATCACACACCTAACAACTTTTGAAAGTGCTCTGGCACTATAAGATTTAGCACTACCCCACTACAACCAAACATAGTTAGAAAAAAAGTCAAATAACACAATATGCTTTATAGTTTGTGAAAAGAAATTTATTTTAAAAATATAACAGTGGGTTTAAGGATACTTATTAAAGGTTGTTTTAGAGCATTAAGTAAATATGTCTGCCATAATATTTTTTTTACGTTATTCTCTGATATAAATTTATGCTCCTGACTGAATTATCGTAGTAGTTTTTTCTGTTCATGCCATGTCTCTGTAGTTTCAGATTTATTATGAGATACATGCACATTTATAAAAATAACTAGTATTTTTATATTTTATCGTTTTTGAGGAACAAGAAATTAAATCCTTATTTTCCTGCCCCCTAGTGGCATAGCGGTATGTCTGTGGACTTACAACGCTAGAAACCGGGTTTTGTTAACTGTGGTGGGCAGAGCACAGAAAACCCATTGTATATCTTTGTGCTTAACTTCAAACAACACCTTATTTTCCTACTTGTAAATGGATCATGAAATGTCTGAGAATTGTCAGATTTTAAGGAAGATTAGAAACTGTTTGATAGGTGCTCAAAGTATATTCTCAACAAATCAACAAGGAAGTAATTTGTTCTTACTATGAAAAAAACAGCCATTGTACAGCTGATTATGTTGGATAACAAATCCATGTGTGTAAAACATTTTTGTTTAATGTTATATACATATGGAAATTTAGATGTGAAAGAACTGTTACAAGTAGTATGGGTTAGAGATGTAACCAAACAAATCCATAGCATAAAAATTAAAGCAGTTGAGAAAAGAGGAAATATGTGATATTTCAAGGTTTATTGCACTCACTAAAAATTGAAGATATTAGTAATTGTAAAGAGATTAGCTAAGAGATACTACACTAAGTGATGATCATTTATTCAGGAAAGTGTATTAGGTAAAAATATCAATGTAATAAGTCTCTTACAAATGGTATCTTTAATTAGGAAACTTCTCCCTATTCTTGTATTGAAATAATAGTTTTTCTTTGAGGACAAATGTGATGACAAGAATTTAGAGAAACGAAATAATAATTAACATATACAGGTATAATAGATGAGCATTTTATTCGAAAGGTAAAAATATTATTGTACACAGAGCTGGACCATTATTGAATAAATGTTTATCAACTAGACATCTTTAGGTAAGATTATCTATAACAGTGGTTCTCAAATTTTTACTCCTCATGAACAAAAGACAATCTTATGAATGCCCAGTACTCAAAAAGGTCTGTCCAGAGAAAGCTAATTCTATAGTGTATTAAAAATCATACTGACTTATATAAGTATGTAACTTAATGAAATTTTCAAATAACTGATTTCATTTAATGAAACATAGATTTTTTTTCTCCTAACTATAATATAAAAACTGTGCTGTTGTGGGCTCCCTTTAGAATAGTTATGGATCTGTAGGGGCCCATGGACCATTGAGAATCATGGCTCTGTAGTAAAGTGATGTACTGGTTACATTTCAAATTATATATGATAGTAAGCCATTCAATTCTTACATTAATGCAGAACGTGAGGAGAGATATCAAAGATGGAAAGAAGCTGTTAAACGAAGTATGGGATGGGCAAGTGTTGAAATAAAGGCTAATGGTGAGATACTCCTTTTTAATATTGTATTCTTTATATTTGAAAGTGGTTTAATAGAACTAAAGAAATAATTATTCATTCTGAGTTTTGAAATATTTAAAATAAGTAGCTTTTCTTTGGCTTGAAAGACTTAATTGGTAGGTAAAATAAAAATCAATTACATTCTAATTAGATGCCCTACCTGAAGAGCATACAAGCAATTTTCAAAAAGTAGTATTTTTTCTGTATATTCTTCTAGCATGTTTTCCATTTATAAACTCAGTTAAATATCTAAACCACTAGTGTTAAGTGTGACTAATTTTTTAACATTTGAAGTACCAAGTGAATCATAATTCGTTTTTATTTCATTCAGGTTTCCGAAACAGATTACTGGGAAGTTTACCAGGTGGTCTTTACTGTTTCACTTCATTTGCCTTACTATTGTTGGCCCGTCTCCTTAAAGGAACAACATGAAGAATGATAAGACTTTACTTTCCAAAAGCAGTTTTACAACTATGTAGCACCATTTATCATTGAAAAATTTGTTGATAACTTTTGATAAAAGTGATTGCCAAAACATAAACACAGGTGTATCTTTTGGTGAATCAAAAGTCATATAATGAAATCCAGTTGTGTGAAAATACTTAAAATATATATATCAAAGACAAAAAAGTTAGCAGTTTGAGGGAGTAAATATTTAAATAAAACTTGTTGCTGCCATTGTTTTAGCAATAAAAATTATCAATAATATAACATGACAAATGCTAGAGAAGAACTGTAGTATATTAATTAATATCTCTGAATATTAATGCTAATGGCATTCTAGAAAATATGATACTGTAATAATTGTACGAGTTGTTGGAACATGTTTGAAAGTTCTTAGGAAACTTTAGAAAGTTGTGTTGTTGAAGATGTGCATAATATTATTCCAACTTCAGAGGTTGTATAAGGGTACTCCAAAATTAACTTCATTTTCCATGCAACCTTCTTTATATTCACTAAAATATTGTAAAAAGAGTACAATTGTCATTGTTCAGAAACAAGAGTTCAAAAACTGTATCTGTTGAGATTGTTTAAAGTTTGTATACTTTAGAAACAAGAGCTCAAAACACTGTGATTCAATTGAGATTGTTTTGTTTACTGTAGGAACAGGAGTTCAAAAGCACTGTGTAATTCAATTGAGATTAGTTGGGTATGGATTCTCTCTCTCTGGTACTTATTCTTGTATATGTAGTTCTCATTGATAACCAACCCTCTGCAGTCTAAGTATCATTTCTTGTTTAATATAATTCAAAGATCAGTCATTAAAGAAAAGAAATATGAAAAAGTGTGAAATTATTTTTGGATAATTCTGTTAAATTATCTAGAATGGTGCTTTATTAAACAAAACTTGATTTTTTTTTCTTGAATGTAAAGTGTTTTTTCTAGGTAGCTTAGAAAAACCTGAATGTATAGGTTTTGAACATGCAATATGGTATATATTAATGTGATATAAACAGTATGCAACTACATGATTTTTAATACTATTTTTTGTTTTTTATAGAAAATAAAAATCTGATTGAACTGTTTATTCCATTTTAGCAAATAGATGTTTTAAATACATAATTAAATAATGTGGAAATACTTGTCTGTCAACATTAAAACATAATTAATTGAAACAAGTTTAATTTACTGTCATCATCCATAATAAGTAGGCCTGGCATGGCCAGGTGGTTAGGGATCTTGACTCGCAATCTGCGGGTTGCGGGTTTGAATCCCCGTCCCATCAAACATGCTCACCCTTTCAGCCATGGAGGCATTTTAATGTGACAGTCAATCCAACTATTCATTGGTAAAAGAGTAGCCCAAGAGTTGGCAGTGGGTGGTGATGACTAGCTGCCTTCCCTCTAGTCTTTCACTGGTAAATTAGGGATGGCTAGTGCAGATAGCCCTCGTGTAGCTTTGTGCAAAATTCAAAACAAACCAAGTAATTCACACATAGATAATAAATTAGTTTATAAATAACATGAAATATATATATATATATATGTTTAGTATATTCTCTCTTTGTCTAATATTTATCAGTATTAAACAGTTATCTTCCTTTAAACAATGTTGCTTGTGAAACAAAATCTGCAAGCAGACTTGTTTATTAGAATCCAAATGTTTTTTTGGAGCAAGTCTTCCTCAAGAGCAAGAAAAACTGATGTGAAAACCTAACTAAGAAGATTAAAAACATCTTAATGTGATAATATTATCAGGCTTGTAGGTAATAGGAAAAAGTTGTGATATTACCTATGGTTTGGCAGGTATGTAGGTGGTGTAGCATGTAGTGATGTTATCCATGGTTTGGCAGGCTTGTAGATGGTGTAACATGTAGTGATGTTGTGCATGGATTAGCAGGATTGTAGGTGGTGTAACATGTAGTGATGTTATCCATGGATTGGCAGGATTGTCGGTGGTGTAACATGTAGTGATGTTATCCATGGATTGGCAGGATTGTCGGTGGTGTAACATGTAGTGATGTTATCCATGGATTGGCAGGATTGTAGGTGGTGAAACATGTAGGTGATGTTATCCGTGGATTGGCAGGATTGTAGGTGGTGTAACTTGTAGTGATGTTATCCATGAATTGGCAGGCTTGTAGGTGGTGTAACTTGTAGTGATGTTATCCATGAATTGGCAGGCTTGTAGGTGGCGTAACTTGTAGTGATGTTATCCTTGGATTGGCAGGCTTGTAGGTGGTGTAACTTATAGTGATGCGATCCTGTGATCAGTTCATGTTAATGTACACAAGTTTATAGCTGATGGAGCAACTAGGGATTTGTCCTTTAGATCAGTACTTATATAGGTTTGTAAATGATGAAATAACAAGCAGTATGAATCTTGGATCATTTTATTTACATCTGAGTCTGAAGATCTCAGAACAAATAGTGATATGGTCCTTTGATTAAAACTTACAATATATTTACATTTGTCAGTAGTTTAATAGCTCTTCAAATCAGAAGCTTGTTGAATTATGTATCTGCCATGTATTTTGAATTATATTTGTTGTTCCTGACATTCTAGTCTGTGTTATTTTAGTTAGACACAAATACTCAAGCTTTTCAGTTACTCTATTATTAAGCCTATTTTATCAGATTGTTTCTCAGAATTATCTCTGATTTTTACAGAAGCAAATCTAAAGTGAGAGTTGTAACTGTGGAAATCATACACAAAAAGAACGAAAAATATTCTTATTTGTAATTGTGTGAATATCTCTGGGAATTTCTTAAGTGTGACTTTATACTCATTTTATCTATTTATTTTATATTCTACAGTTCAGTTCAGGTTAAAATGGCAAAAGTTGAAATAAACTTGAAATAGAAACTGAGATGAAAATATGACAGAACATGGTCAGCACATGTAATAAAGAATCTACATAAAAATCATTTTATCGCAGGTCTTAGCTTTTTCAAAGTAGAAGGTAATTTCTGAAAATTGCTAAAATCACTTGTACAATTAACTTGCTCTCCATTGCTGAACAATCACAATATTAGGTTACTAGTGTCTGGAAGGACCACTGCTGTGTTTATTAGTTTTACCTGCACTAGGTAAGGAAAGATACAATAAAACTATCCTATGAAACTGTAGCCACATAAATACCAGATGTTAAGGTATTACTATTCAACCCCAAAATTGTTAGTATAGCTCCCATCCTCCAATTTTTTAAAATTATATGTGGATGTTGCTTAATTTATAGTTTCACCATTTCAAAATCGTTTCAAGAAAGTTGCATAGTTTTATTGACCATTGTAGGATGGCAGCTTTAAAATATTATGCTTTTAAAATTTAGTTGAATTGTTTGATAAAATTTTTGTAAAAGGCAACGAACAGATAGTTTTTGTCTTGGTAAATTTTACAGTTGTTTGAAAACAAAAAAAACAAGACACTGCTTTTGTTCTGAGTTGTAAAAGCATTATTTAAAATGTTGAAGTAAGTAACTGTTACTTATTGCATGTACATACATATATATATCTTAATGAACAGAACAGGCCAAAACAAAAAACGAAATTGAAGATGCAGCATAAATTAAAAGAACCCCCAGGGTACAGGCTATAATGTGGGATATAAAATGTGTCCTTGTTTTGGAGATGTCTGCAGAAGTAGGACTCACATTGCAGTGGGGATACACCATCTACCAGTTTTAGCCTTTGTTAGCCAGTCTCACATGTTAAAGAAAACAAAACATCAACAAAATATAACTTAATAGAGCAAGTTGTGGTTAGTCAAGCCAACAATGTCTATCACATTTATATCACCTTTCACTGCCTGTAGACAATTGTGAGAAGGTGACTGCTCTCCAAAGTAAAAAAAGAAAAGCAAAATAAAGAAAAACGAAAATAAGGTTTTATAATTGGGGGTAAGTAAGATAAATTTACCTCGTGATGTTGGCATTCCAGTCCCAATTATAATAGTAAAGTCGTAAGTTATTAAGTTAATTAGTAGTACAGTAGACAAATTATACTAGTATAAAAGCCAAATCAAGTTATATAAGCCAGTGTAACTCCCAACCACCACATATTAAGTTTACTTACAGAGTCCACTGTAACTACCAATTTTCAGACTTTAGCTGAGCCTTTATATGCGATAAGATGTTCATCTGTATAAAAATAGTGCCAAGTTGTTTAAGTGACTTTATCAAAATCTACAAATACTTATTGAAAACTTCAAGCAAAAAACTTCTTAATTTTTACTTTTTTATACTTATTTAATACACTAGCAGAAATAGGACAGTAAAACTGTCCTTGAAGTTGGCATTCCAGCCCCCATAATGATGTTTGGTATTTTCTGCTTGTTCTCTTATTGTAGCGTATTTATAAGGTTTTTGTGACGTCAGAAATGTACGTGGATCTTATCACATATTAAACGGGGTCTTTTATGTTTTTATTTTGAGCGTTAGGAGAACAGTTTTAGATCCGAAGTATCCCCACTAATTGTCCATTAATAGTATAAATTACATCGTCATTTTTAGTAACTTTGGATAATAGAAGCTTTATAACAAATCCTACTTTACGCCTTAAGCGAAAGTGGCTCGCTATGGATGATGCCATGGCCTCTTCCTTGACTTTCTCCAGTCAATCAGTCTCACCAGAGAAGTAAATAGAAAAATGCGTAATAAGTTTCTATTAAGATGTAAAAATGCAGCTTAGTGTTGACTGAAAATTACGCAATTAAATCAGTTAATTGTAAATTGTGTAAATATTACACAAAAAAAACAATGAACACATGTTTGTGTGTGAGGGGGGGGGGCGTTATAATGCAACGACGGCAATTCCAATTTTCGTTGATTTAGAATAGCTCAAAAGTTGGTGGTGAAAGGTGTTGGCTAGCTGCCTTCCCTTTTGCCTATTACTGCTAAATTAGGGACGGCTAGAGCAGATAGCCCTCGAGTAGCTTTGTGCGAAGTCAAACAAACAATCATTTTTTTTTTGTTTTTGTTTCGTATAATAACTAATGAGTTTATCGCATAAGAACTGTTAGTTATTCCAGCCCTACTTCAAAGGTTCTACTCCACTGTCCGCCCTTCTTGCACGAGTTTCTGGGATGTCCATTAAAAGTAAATCTCAGTTGTTGGCAGAATATTCGATTTCTGCCTTTATGTTACAAGCCATCGGTTATTTATGAAAAGTTAAAAACTGCATGTTGTTTTCCCTCCAATTTTTTTTTTTTTGTGTTTACGTGTATTGTATCTTTTATCCTCTTGAAAATAACATTCGAACAATTTGTGACTGTAAATGTATAATTCACATAAAAACCTTTTATTTCTTCTAAAACCTCTTTAGCTTTGCTTCCCATGACCGGAATAGATTTTCTTATGTCTATGATAAAAGAATAAGATACAGTATATTTTTTACTGAAAATCTTGCTGTGTGTATGTCCCTCCCTTCTGGAATCAATAACTTCTCACTGACGGATTAGTGCCTGCTTGTTAATCCACTCGTGTGGAAAGTGATAGATCAAAGATCGAAATACTAATTATTCTTCCATATGCTATTATTAAACGGGGTTGATATATCGAAGCCAACCAAATAAGTCTGAACCGGTAATCATAGAGCAAACATCCAGAGATCGGTTTCTTGGGTAAACGTATTGGTGTATGTATACATCAGGGAACTCGAAAACTTATTACGTCCGTGGTGACACATAACTCTAACGTATTATTCACAGGCTGGTTCACGTTTCACTGGGAAACGAAAATCAAGAAATATCATGCGATAATTACAGTGCTGTTTCGAGCATAGTTCGTATTAGCAGCAAAAACGTATACGACTAAAACACAGTTAGATGCAAAAAGTTTGAACTGCATTCGTTTATAAAGGAAGACCTACGAGGTTTAAATAGAAAAAACTTAAAACAACTACACAATACTCACCTGTGTTTTATCGCTTTTCAAACGTAAAGGGACAAAATCGATCTTTGTTCAAATAATAGGCTGTAATTTGGTACAGAAAACTTTAATAATTAGTTTAGTTTGCCTTTGTTACTAATTTTGTGATCTTTAAACCTCGTCAAATTATTTATACATAACGCGACGATCTTGAAAATG